CCACTTTTCAAGACTTTCAGAATTTGGTGCACGCTACAACATATGTCAACGTAGTTGGTATAGGATGCTGTGCTTTTCTTCTACTAAGTTTTGCGGTGTTACCAGTAGAGTATACACGAAGGCATTACTTGAGCGTTTGCTTGACGTTTGCTATTCTGTTGATGCAGGTAAGTAATATTAGACGCATGAGGTTTCTAGATATCACGACTGACTTGGTAAGATGTCGTTTGTGATCCCATTAGGGAATCAGAAAACGCAATGCTTTGATAAAATTACGCCTCATGATATGTACTCGAGTATCAACTGTGCTCTCTCGGGGGCCTTCCTGCTAGGTGGTGGATGGTCTACAGTTATGTGGGGTATGTGATACAACCATCCAGACTTCTTATTTTGGACCCATAAATTAACATGTTTTTAGTGTTTTTACGAACGCTTTCACTGCACCTCCAAATCTGCTGGCAGGCAGTTCCGGGCCGTCGATTCTTTCTAACCTCACAGGCAGCCGGTTGGTCGGTCCCCGTCGTTTTCCTTGCCGTGGCCCTTTCCGTGACAGGTGTTTCATTCCGCTTCGGGGAGTCGTGCCACATCAACTCGAAAAATGGCCTACAGACTTTTTGGGGGCCACTTCTTGCTGTCGCTGCTGCCTCGATTGTAACTCAATCGATAACCTTCGGATACTGTATTCAAGTGTACCTCCGCAGTCTGCTAGAGGAGAAGCAGACAACAGAACTTTCATCGCATCTTCCATACGCCAATAGTGTCAGGACTGTATCGGCGGCACAGGCTCTGAGAAGGGTACAGCGCGTGGTCGCGCTGCAATGGAGGGGGATATTCGTGGTAATCATCATTCTCGTTGATGTGGTATTTTTTGCTACAGTATTTCTACAATTCGATGGTACTACGGAAAAGACACCGGAGAATGTAAAGGCAGGGGTTGACTGGTTGATTTGCGTCCTTGAGAAAAATGGGGATAAGAACAAATGCCTGGATCTCGCAGCAACATTAGTCGTGCCTGAAGCAACGGCTTTAGCTGTGCTATTCCTACTTTCGGTAATTACATCTAAATTTTGAAATCATTTATTGATGGTTACTAACTCGACTCTATAGTTCAACGGAATCTGGGCACTTATTCTTCTCGGAAACTACAAAATCCTCACAGGGTGGTTTCACCTCTTCCGTGATCTCTTCACCAAGCCGAAGCCCAGCGATGAGTTTGTCTCCTACAATGCCCGACGAGTCTCCGAACCAGACGCATCCTACGAGATGCTTGATTCTATCAAAAACAAGACCCTTTCTACAGCCACTACCAACATTACTAAAACTTCTTCAATCATCAAATCACCCGAACCGCTTTCTCTCTCGATGCCGAGGGAATACAACCCATCCACCTTCTCTGCACAGCTTAGGACTAGAGCTGACTCAGATGTTTATCCTCCGTCTGTGAGGTTGAGATCTGACTCGAGTTTCTCATCACCACCGTATACACCATTCAAGGATATCGCATCAGTGACTGGCGGAAGCCCACAAGTAGCTACAGGGGCTCCTTTCTCGCCATATAGGGATAGCCCATCTTCTTTGCATGGTGGGAATAACCAGTTTTCGCCATATCGGGATATCAGGGCAGAGACCGAGGCGACGGATTATATGTCTGTCTACTCTCAAGCACCAAAGTACCCACCCGACGCTAAAATTGTTGGCCTCGCTTCATGAACATGCTTTTTTCTTTCTTTCGTTTATCTTCTTCCTTCCTCTAGGGTTTTTATTTTATGTGGCATTTTGCGGGACATTTAGCGGGAGCAAACATTGTGGCCGGTTGTGGACAATTTGGTTCGGGTTTTTTTTTTCTGGTGGGGCATGGTACCTCCTGGATTTTTTATTTGGAAGAAAATACTGTCACTCATTCTCATGCAAGATGGACAAAGGGCTCTGCGGACAGAGCAAATAACTGGTGGGGGAATTGAAATCTCCCAGACTAGGCCTGGAATTAGGTACAAAAGAATGGGATATTCTTATTTACTCATTGCCTTTTATTTACTGTATATATGCTGGCATACAACTGGGGTTTACGGTGTTTATGAGGTGTTTTGTTTATCTATCGGTCTAATACCCCCCTAGGCCTTCGATTTCTCTTTTGGCTATTATATGTAACTTTATATAATTTCTTTTTACCATTAATCCAGCTTTGGTTGGATCGATGTATGAGTTAGATCAATTGAACAGAATTGGTTTAAAGCAATACTTGGCCACTTCATATGGACGATTGGGCTATCCTAGAACCTGTTTCATTGAGATCCCTTCAAGGTTGAGTAAAAATATAGTGGCGAACCCATTGCTTCACAGGGGGGGAGACTGCAGACTGCAGTTGGACAAGGCGTTCTAGAAACCTTGTATTACGCTGTGTGCGACCACCAGGCCTAGGTCTGCGATTGATAATTTGAGAATGTGGGTCACAACCAAAGAAGATAGTTCCATTTCCTTTTACTGCAGTTGAAAAACCCTGCTCGTATGCAGGCATCCGTCGATGCCATGGCATGGCGATATTGTTACTCACTGCGAGCTACTGACCGTTCAGCTAGCTGAGACATAACGAGAATCTGTCACTCTGCATGTGAGTTCGGATGGAGTATGTACTCTACTCGTAAGTTCATAGCGTTTCCGAACACGACCAATATTGCATGACATACAAAAAGGTGGATTTAGCGCTTTTTTATATGGTATGCAATAGCAGTCGTGTTCGGAAACGTCATGAATTTACGAGTACAAGCTACATCTTAAGTACACAGACCAGATCAAGGAGATTTAGCTGGAGTACATGCGTGAGGCCTATCTTAGACTAGCAGCCGTTAAAAGTTAACTCAGGTGAGGTTTTGTGCGACGTGGTTGCTTTTTGGCGTGGAGCGCTAACTATCACATGGCTTGAAAAGGCAGGCGAGTGACAGTTCGTGAGCGACATCTAGCTGAGGCAACAGCTGGTAACATCGAACGGAAGCACAGAATCTGGAAACAACCGCGGTTGATACGGTGAGGATGCACACTCGTTCAATTCCTTATTGTTTTAAATGAATATAACGGACTTAAGTTCAGCCCTGGCAGAGGAAAGACATATTAATGATCGACTTTTTACCATGGTCACGGTTCAATATTTCGTTATGATTATCGAATCTCACATGGGTGTAAAGTGCCGAGCGGCCGCCCGCGCTCCGGATTTTCTATACAACTACTTATAAAGCTTATACGGTACCGAGTCACTGTCACTCACACATAACTTCAGTTGATAAGTTCTCATCCTACACGGCGCGGTTCGTGTCTAGTGTATGTATCACTTGAGAATCACCCTTTTCTCCGCTTTGTGGGATTCCGTGATCCTTTTTCCAACAGTACTGTAGGGAGCTAATGTTAACTATGGCTAGTTCGTATAGGGTGTATCTTCAATGTTTTGGGATCTTGTAACTAGTCACAATACGATACATCTCGGACGTGCGTTAGGCTGTTCGATTACAGCCCTATATCGGTTTCGATAACCTCCAGACAGCCATTTATCGCCGTTATCGTATCACTACACGCGGCGCATTTCTTTCACACCCTGATCAACATCTTTAATTTGTGTGTTTCATTCATAGAGCTACATGAGGGTGATGATCATTGATACCTTAGAAGCTCGAATCGATCTTACCGGAGCACGTCTCCCTTTCCCCACATGACACAATATGGCCTATAAAATATTAAGACTATATTATGAATATCGAGTAGCAAGGTGTACACACCCGGTCATCCTTTATTAATGCCTTCGCCCCCCCCCCCCCCAAAACGTGACCATCGATACGTCATACCCAAATGGTCTATATATCTCGATACGATATTCAATACAATGTGCGGCTGTGGTGCATCTGTATATACACAACTGCAGAGCAAACCACCTCGGCATCCAAGATTCCCTAGGTATACGTACATGTGGAAAATATACCTACCCACCAAGCAGCCGTATATATAATGCAGCACAAAAGGCCCACCCGTATTTCCCCGGACTTGGTACGACCCTCTCTAGCTGGTAGCGAGAGAAAAAGACAGCTGCAGAGTTGGAGTTGAGCTCTTTCTTGCAGCTTTTACCAACGAGAGCAAATCTAAGTACCGCAGCACCATTCCGCAACAGCACCATTCCGCAACAGCACCCATAATCCCAAGAACCGGAGAAACATGATGTGTAGCCAGATGCAACTAGCTACGGAGTGGAAGGTCGTTATTATATGAATCCCTTTGACTGAATGCCTGACTCGGGTCTTGCTTTCAGTCTTGACCTGCAATATTCCAGATATATCAGGCCTAGTTATAGTACATACGACAAATTTTCGACACGTCATAAATGCGCTTTATCCGGATCTCTCCGCGGATCTGTTCGATAAATCAAATTCATATAAAATACATATAGCCCGAGACTTGTTTCTTCGATCACTGACGCATCTTGTTCCACTCGTTTATTAGTTGCTGTACTATAACGCCAAGCCTCAACTCCACTGCACTGCAGTTCAAGGATTAATAGACGCCTTCTCCCTCCATTGAGTCAGTAGCTGGCACAGCTACTGATTGTGTGAGCTTTGGCAGGGGAACACGGAGAGGCTTGTTATATATATGTTTCATGTTTGGAGTTCAACTATAGTTATACACCGGTGAGGAAGGTTTTCCGGTGAAAAGGAAGGGAAGGTGTATATAAGTCCTCAAGCTCGATTTTAAATGTCTGTTGCTACCATCACAATAATACTATTTAGTACCACTCCTCAAGAAGTTGATAATATTTTCCTTAGGTCTATCTGCTTCAAGTCCTATTCGCAAAAATAACACATTATAATTGCAATACCAACCACTGACGCTTAGGCGAACGCACGGCGCAGTCAGACATCTATCTCCCCTGTCATAGTCGCATCAAGCTGCGACTTCACATTCGACCTCAACCTACGACACTATACCCATCGTTCGCATTAATGGCCAACATTTATAGTCCCAAAATGGCGACTGTATACATAAGTCGGCCCTCGAGCGGCGACTGGGAAAGGGATCTCAATATCACCCTCCAAAGCCAAGAAAACCTGGAACGCTTATGGCAAACAATCCAGTCCGTCAGGTTGGGAACCATTACACCCTCCTCTGCAGCCATGACCTGCTTCACCTGGCTCACTGACATAATCAACGGCCGCTGTCCGCCATTCTATCCCGAGGCCGAGGCTGAAGCTGCAGCCTGGCGGCCCCAGCCCGGTGACACTCCTGGCATGCGAGTATTCCACGAGCACCTCTGCGGGTTCTTGTGGACGAACTCAGGTCTTTCTGATGACGAGCGGCAGGACCTTTTGCTAGAGTTTATGGTGGAATATTGGAGGCTACTGCGGACAAAGAAGTGGATCTATAGGGGGGAAACAATGGAGCTTCTGTCGCTGGGGAGGGAGGAACACTCTCATGGCCCTCATCATTGGCCGCATACAGACGGGCGGTTGAACGGTAATTCTCATTTCGTCCCCCCCCCCCCCTCTTTCTAAGCCTCTGTATGCCATATTTATATCAGAAAGGCTACTGACAGAAGTGCATATATTTAGCCCCAAGACCTGAAGGGATTCCATGTCGCCTATATCGGGATCGCCAAAAAGACCGCTTTCAAGCGTTGATCGGGAAGCACATGGGCTTCAGTTGGGTGAAACAGAGTATGAGTATGTATAACGGCATATTTGAGCCATTTAACGCATCCGGCCCTCGTTTCAAAGAGCAGTTTAAAACTATGGTCATCACTTTCGAGATCTTTGGGAGAGAGTTGTATACCTCACCGTGCGTCCTTCCGAGGACGCGGGGGAACTATGAAGATCGGGATACTGGAATTTTTATTACGGAATTTGAGTATATTGGGAGTGGTGTGGGGGAGTATAGGAAGAGGTGGCCAGAGTGGATAGCGAGGGGGCAGGTTTTGATGGCGGATGAGAGTTACAGTAAAGAGTTCAAGGAGGTGGTGAGAAGGGTGGTGGAGGTTATGAAGAATATAGAGGAGACTGTAAAGAAGGAGGAGGATAAGCAACGTGCTGTTGAGGTCGAGGCCAAGGCCGGTGCGAATGCAGGTTGAGGTCTTTTAGTTGGAGATTGATAATGGGGCCTAAATTCTTCGTACTGGATCGTATTTCTTGAGGAGGTATGGCAAGAGCTACGTTAGTGAGTATTATAAGCAGTCATGAACATTACAACAAGTTTTAGAATCACTGCTATATCCTATATCCAAGTTGCCGACTGATTGAGCAGGCTCTAGCTAGCCAGTACGAGCCCCCAAAAAAACATCCTCTATAAACGACGCCCTCCATATATAATATCAAAATCTGCACTCCTAACCCAGGGACCGAGTATGGAAGTATGAATATACATGTAATATACCGCCCGACCATATCAACCAAACCAGCAAGTTTAACACCCCATAAAAAAAAAAACTCTCTGACTGCCATTTCCAATTTATCCCAGGCAGTAGGCAATGAAAACATGATACACATAATCTTGATACCGGAGTGCCAGCAAAATGAGAAATATCTATGTCTCTCCCTATCACGTTCTAGATACGCCATCGGGGGGATATGACTTTGGATACCAGCTTGTTCTCAACGATAAGGCTGTGGGATAAGATAAGACGGCCCTTGGAGTGGGTATATGATATGGAAATTGCGAGTACCTTACCGGGGCTTGGGAGCGTACAGTAAATGTAAATACATCATGTAGTGACGGTGATATATTGGGTGGATGGGGTTATTATGAATGGGATTTGATATGCAGTATTGTGCTTAATATGAAGTGAATGCTGGTCTGTGATGAATGATATAGAGCAATCAATAGATCAATCAAAGCGCCGACCCAGCTAGTCCTGGAATTTAACCCCAATCTTTGAATTATGATTCGGGCTTTACTTTCGAGACTTCAAGACGCCCATCTCGTTTTCCAGGAGTGCACTGGAGTGTTGGGGAATTCGAAGTAGATGCAAAACACAGCTCAAACGCATGAGCCCCAGAGGGTAGGTGATGGGACCAGGGTATATATATGGAGCTTAAAATGATAATTAATGAAGACTCCGGGCGTATATTCCGCGGCCCCAGCCGTGGTTCAATCACTTCCAATCCACAATGTTGCATGAAGCGCCAACCCGCAGCCGATATCTGGACCGGATGCGCCGGGCTCTCTGGATACCCGCCGGTACTGGCTACAATTACAACGCCCGGCCGGCCATTGGCTCTCGGGTAGATGAATTCATCTCTTCATCACTTCATCACTTCATCTCCTTCACCTAGCACCCCCGGCCCGGCCATCGCCAGCGAGATGAGTCGATGGCGATGTGGTGGTATGAAATTTAACTATCTAGATACCTACCCGTTCATAGGGCGGACAGGGCCGGGCGGCGGGTCAATCATTGACTCCCACACACACCCATGCCTTCCTCCGCGCGGACCGGGCGCGGAGGGCCAATCATTGACTCCCGCACCTTCGCGCCCGCCGCATGCGATCAAGCCGGGTTGCGGAGGGTCACGATGACCTAACGCGCTGTCTGCGGGAACCCTTGGATCCCCGGGGGGGGGGACAAAGGGGGAGTCGCAGATGTGGCCGGAGGTTTATTTCGGAGGTTTATTTCGGAGGTTTATTTTCGGAGGATAAGCTTATTTTGGGGGGTCTAAGTTAAGGTTGTGGAACTGTTATGCGTTCTAGGTATGGGGATTGAGATTGGCATGGGAGATTGGGGGAGAAGGGGGGAGGGAGAAGGGAAGGGAAGGGGATGGGGGAAGGTTAGGCGTGAGGTGAGGTGAAGTGTCTACGGGTGAGTGAGAGCGAGTGAACTACAGTATCCGGTAGAATTATTGCGAAAGTCAGAACTAAAAGAGTGGGTTTCTTGGTCCGTGCTCACTGCAAAAATTCCTTTAAGGGCCAATGGGACTATCTGGTCACGGAAAACCCACTTTCGCATTAATTCTACCAGAATCTGTAGACTACGAGTGAGTGAGAAGAGGTGAAGTAGCACCACTCACACCACTTCCTCCCCTCCACACCCGTGACCACTACATCAAAATACACACTCACGCCCAACGCCCAACGCCCGGGCCCCAACACCTCCACCTCAAAAGTGCGTTTCCAAGCCCTCGAATCGCAAATCGGTCTCCAGACACCTCGCGTCTCAATCCTAAAATTTACTCCGGACACATCTCCTCGCCTCACTTTTTGCGTGTTTTCTTGCCCTACAACCCTGTGTGCGACCGTTCTGTAACAGAGCGAAACAGCACCAGAAGCCGGGATCTCCCAGCGCACTGGGGTGGGGTGAAGTGAGGATTGCATCGGTGGGTTAGGGTTACGTCACGGATTATCACTCTGTTTTCTGCCTTGCGCAGATCACGAATTATGGGTTGTGAAAGTGATAACGAAATTCATTCGCGGTGTATTTATATTATACATGCCGCATGCTGTTGCTGGACCCAGACTCCCTCTCGCTCCAGTGGTTACATGTAGGTACATATCTACATAAGTTGAGCTCAGCCCCCGCCTGTGGCAAGGGTATCCTGATGATGCGGCTCTGAGATGCCGGGGCCTGAGGCGTACGGACGTGTAGAATGGGGAGGAAGCTCGTTTTGCGCGTGGATACAACGGCGCACGCGGGTGTACCTTCTTGACGCTTTCGGGGCAGCTTACGCAGCCGGGGAGCACTGGGATGGAGGGTAAGTGGAGGAGAGGAGAGAGGAAGCGGAGCCTTGTACATAGTGCACTGCATGCCCGTATCCCATTAGTGCCGAATTATATACACCAGCTATTTATAATGAGGGGACAGCGGTTTGATTGACGATTGATCCTTGGGACGAGGGGTGAGTGAGGGATGGGGGGAGGGGTGGTGCTGTTATTATATTACACTTTTTGCCCTGCTCCCGTACCCAATGCAGAGAAGGTTTTGCTTGTAGCAATACAAGTGAGAGTTAGCTAACATCCTTAGCACAGGCAGTAATGAGGGAGGTTGATTAAAAGGCTGTTATTGTTACATTGTGGCGTATGGGTATATTGATTGGTAGGACTTGTGTTTTTCGGCGTTTGTTAATTACCGTTATGTAGGTACTTTTCTCATGTTACTTCAGCTCTGCTTCTGTACATATGGTTGGGGACACCTTGAGACGGAGGGTCGAAATGGGTCAACTTCACGGCTTAATAGGCAACGCCCACACCACTGTAAAAATAAAATAGCTCTGTAATACTATAGTAACACTCATGAATAATAATGTGACAGACGGCGATTTAATTTAATCACTGTTATGGTGATGCTATTCCCATTTTTCTTCAGGTGATTTGCGTGAGAGTTCCAAGAAATGTCGCTGCAGCACCTTCCCTATTGGGATAGACATGCTTACTAATTACGAGATATTACCTAATTAGGAAATCAAGTACCAAAGTACCTACCATTTAGATTTATCCACCACCTGCCGATGACCTCTATAGACCCGTTCTCTAAACTCTGCTGTACCATAGTTCAAGCCGGATACATACGCTTCCAAAATTCTCATGCAATAAACATAATATCTATTAATTAAATAAGCTAAATTTGACTATTTTATTTCTGATAAGGATTCAGGTTAATATTACCTATTAATTGAAACTGTTGAAACCGAATCCAATGCTAAAGGCACAGTGCTTCGAAGCGCGTCAAAAGAGTATTGACAGTTCTCTCTGGCATAATACTTGGCTGCACACCAGTATCTCTCGATAAAATTTAATTCGCAGTGAAATTTCGGGTAGAATATTATCAATTGATTGTGCGACTCCAGCTCTTCCTGTAGACGGCCTTTTTGCTCACGGAAGTCACGTTCAGCTGCCAAAATGGATCTAGCACAGCATCCACCTTCGATTGGTGCACAACCAAATCTACCATGTGTCGTAGGACACTGTAGTAGGAAAGCAAAGCCATCTGTTCTCCTATTACGCCATAATCCTCGCTCCAAAAGAACCTGTTGAATTCCTTTGGGTTTTCCACGCAACTCAGAAATCTGATGATTTTGGGAGAAAACCATGGATTGTGGTAGGCCTTTTGAGTGTATAAAACCTTCTCTCATGTGTGGTTGAGAACCGCCGGGATTTCTATTCATTTTTGAAGCCAGTAGTGCATCGGAGGCAAAGCAACAATGATTTGAAGCATTATCGAAAGCAAAAAGAGCTTGACATCCTGGAAATGCGTAACGAAAGATTGGCAATGCTACTTGGATCGTATGTTCTACCATTTTGTCTCCAGTCCAATAATTGTCTTTCCCGTATTCAAAAAACATCATTGCATCTCGAATAGGTTTGCCAGCTTCGTCTTTATGCCACATGATATTGCTTAGCAATTCTGAATCCGTAATTTCATCCGGTACTTTGAGACGGCCACCGGGTGTTAAAAAGCCCGAAACCATAATTCCTCGTCCTTTAGATTTGGGTCTGATAGGCTGTGATCCCTTCTTCATCCATACCTTTCTTTTCCCGTCATTTGCATTAAACACAGACTCATCATGTGTAATTAAAACAAGAGGCTTTTCACCGGGAGCTAAACTTGCTGGTGGTTCCCAAGTGCCGTCCTCTTTGAATATAACGAAACGCGTTTGATGGATTTTCCATTGTGGTATGAACACCTCTTGCCTGTAGCGTACTACGTCTTGTCGCTCATGTCCATCCACAAAAACTCCCTTCCTAACTGTATCGTGAATAAATCCCATCTTCTTCAACCAGCGTCTTGCAGTCCTGGCACGAATTCTGTTGCCGTTCGGACCAAAACACTCTTCAATTGCTTCAACCGCGCGCGCTGAATCCAAATAAGTTCCAATAGTTTTCGCCAATCCAAACGCAGTCAATTCTATTAAGCGAAACGTAATCAAGTCAATAACCTAAACGAGATTCAAGCGTTTTACTGAATAGTAAAAACTCACCCGCTTCCTTACTACCCGATAACCAGTCTCTATCACGGGGACTGTAGGCAATAGACTGTGGTGCCAAGGAATACAACCTAGGTAGTGACGTAGACGTGAACGTAGATGTAAAGGTATGCTTTGACTATGGACTATGGGGTGGCTCTGCCTGGTATGATAAACCGGT